GTTGATAGGCTTCTTGCTTCTCGTAGAAGGTTGGCTGAAGAAAAAGATTCTGAATAGATGACGTAAAAGCGCTGCTTTATATAGAGTGGGAGCCCCTCATATTTCGCGCGCTTGAACGCCATTGGCCAGTTTCACTGGCGTGATTCAATAAGGCTTCAGTAGTATTTGGAGAAAAGGGTAATTCCCATAGCAATGTAGAGTGACCGAATTGAAAGGGAACGACTGACTGATGACACAGCTTAATGCTCATTGGCTCAAACTGTGATGCTGGAAAATGTTCTCTTCTAAAATATTTTATTTTTGATCTGATTTCATGTGATTATGTATTTAAATTATGCATGAATGTTCCCAAACACTATGACAGCGCGATCTCTGTGTGAGATAATGTGATTGTCGTCATATTTCTATAAAAATCTCAAATACATGTTTGTATTAACATAAAAATGGATAAATACACCTTTCGTATGGAATTAAATAGCAAGCACTTTGAGTGTCTTGTTGATGATATTTATTTTCATATAAAAGCAACAGAACTGAAATCATATCATGTTTATTAGCAACACAGCATGCAAGTGAGAATAACGCGATATCTGCCTTTGATCTCGTTGGTATCTGTTCCACTTCGAGAGGTCAGAACTGTCCGTCTTGACTGCACTTATTTCACTCCTCCCCTCACTGCAGCCGCCTACTCTCGCCTACATTTCAGGTGAGGCGAGGCGCATCTCAAACAAGCCTATTGCTTTGAATGAGAGACAGAGAGGAGGAGCGCAAAAATAAAACCATGCCCTCTATTCAATATTCCGTTTCAGCTGGAAATACGCCACTACACTGAAATAAAGTCGGCAGCAACTTCAGGTTCACGCGGACTTTAACCTCTTGTGGATATCATAGACATAATAAATACCTAGACGCCTCATTTGTCATGCTGTGATATGTCAAAGCGTCCGCCATGTTTGTGAAGGCAAGACTGCCTTAAAAATAAATGGAGGTAAACGGGGGAGCTGCGGTTTTTCTGGATAAAAACATGATAACGTTTACATTTATCAACCGATTTCAGAGGTTTGTGATCTACATGGAGTTAAAAATAACTCTGCCTCCAGTTATTTAGTTAGGTTTGGAAAATTATTAATTTTCGTAAGAAATTGTGAAAACTCACACTTGTTCATTTGATTAGATTTTTTCTAATGTTAATGTAGTATAACTGTGACATATACATGTTTTGTAAAGTATAAAGAGATTATTATTTCTAGTTTATATACTTACATACATTAGTAATTCATTTTGCACTACATGCTTAATACTTTTTATATATTATTACTAGTATTAGGGGACAAGCACCGAAGGTGCGTAGTCACCTATTGTGTTTCTTGGCGTAATTATTATTCTTCTTCCTCTTCTTCTTCTTCCGCCGCAAGTCTATGCCAGCCCATAAAACCGCTTTCGGGAAAGTTGTATAATTTGGCACACTGATAGGGGACAGTCTCAACATTAACCACAGCAAGTTTGGAGTCTCTACCTCCTACTCTCTAGCGCCACCACTTGTCCAAAGTTGAAATTTATTTATGCTAATAACTTTTGAACCGTAAGGCACAAATGGAAAATTCTTTTTTCCTGTGAATCCTTGGCTCATGCCGAGTCGAATGAACACGAAAATTCAAAAATCTCAAGGCTTGGTTTTTTTTGCTATTTTTAATTGTTCGTAAAACGTACTTTGTCGAACTCGTCATAGACGGTTTGTCTGATTATTTTACCTGCAGTATTTCGGCGCAGTGCCACCTAGTGGTCAGGAGATATGAAAAATGCATATTTTTGCTTATAACTTCTGAATGGTTTGGCCAAAAATCACAAAACCTGTCTCTTTAGATTCGGTGTATCATGCCGAGTCGAACCATACCAAATTTTGGGCGTCGGCCATTTTGAATTTAGTCAAAAAATTCAATATTTTAAGAACGCTTAAGCCTGGCTCACACTACAGGATTTTTAGCCCGATTTAGCCCCGATTTCCCCCTCCCGAGAATCGGAGCAAAAATCTTGTCGAGCCCCTCGATCGGTCCCGATGTTCGGTGCGGATTATCTGGTAATGTGAGGCATTCACAGATCGAATCTTGCACCTCCCGATCTGCTCGCACACAAATCGGGGCCGCCCTGATCATATAGAACATGTTTGATATTTAGGATTGAAATCGGGATGATGACGGCTATATGATTACGTCAGTACTTTCACAATAGCCAATGCGCGACTGCAAAACAGCTGCTGTACGGCTCCATTGGATAGTGGAGACAGAGGAAACTGCTTCTTGATGTTTTGTAGTAACACGACTGTCTGTATAATGTGTCGAAAACGTATCACAACCGTAAGGAGAAAGAGAAGCGCTGGAGGGAAATCGCCTCAGTTTTGAACGTGTACGGGGGTGGCAGGGGGAGTCACGAGCAGGGGGTCTGGGGGCTTCTTAATAATATCTTGTAGTGTGTGATGCGCCATGATGTTCAAATCTTGTAGTGTGTGCACGTTTAAAATTTGAGAGAAGATAATCTGCAAAGATTCTCCTTATATGTGTGCTGCAACCAGATTTCATAATCGGTTAGGATTTTAAAACTCCTGTAGTGTGAGCCCAGCTTTAGACTTTAATATTACAAAAATCGGTATGCGCCTTCGGCACCGTGCCCTGATGGTACACAAAAATTTTGGGTGCAGCACCACCTTGTGGTCAAAAGTTATTAATCAATTTACAAAAATGCTAATAATGTTTGAATAAATTGGGCTATTGTAATGAGAATGATGTTGTTAGATTCCTTGGATCATGCCGAGATCATCGATACCAATTATGCCATAATTGGCTGAATGTCCTGTCCGCCATTTTGATTCATGTTGAAAACCTACTTTTTCGAACTCCTCCTAGACCGTTATTCCAATTTTCACCAAATTTGACTCGGATCATCTTCAGACCAAGCTGGCAAAAATTTATGGATTTTATGTCGATATACGAAACGGTTTTCGTTTAGCACATCAACGAATTTGCTGGAAAGATGCCAAAATGCATCTGAGGCTGTATCTCTGCGAAACTTTGACATATTTGCACCAAACTTTGTATGTGCCATTGTCACCTCACACTGATCATGCCACATCAATTTGGTAACAGCACCACCTATTGGTCAAGAGTAATAAACCATTC